CCTGGCACAGCTTTACGAGCACTTGTGGTGCTCTGGTGTGATGCCTGATGACTGGAAAAGGGCCAATGTGGTCACCATTTTCAAAAATGGTTCCCCCAGGATCTGGGATGATGAGGTTGAATGGTTATAAACTACTACAAGACCGTTTCAGGCTGGACATAAGGAAGAATTTCTTTACTGTCCGAGCCCCCAAGGTCTGGAACAGCCTGCCATCGGAGGTGGTTCAAGCACCTACATTGAACACCTTCAAGAGCAAATTGGATGCTTATCTTGCTGGGATCCTATGACCCCAGCTGACTTCCTGCCCTTTGGGCGGGGGGCTGGATTTGATGATCTTCCGAGGTCCCTTCCAGCCCTAATGTCTATGAAATCTGTGAAATATATGAAAAAAGGGAAGAAAGAGGACGCAGGAAACTACAGACCCGTTAGTCTTACCTTGGTCCTGGGAAACCTCTTTGAGAAGATTATCCAGGAGCACATTTGCAAGGGGCCAGCTGGGGAGTTTATGCTTAGGGGCAACCAACTTGGGTTCATTCGAGGCAGGTCCTGTCAGACCAACCTGATGGCCTTCTATGACCAGGTGACAAAAGCCTTGGATGTAGGTGTCACGGTGGATGTAGTCTTTCTGGACTTTAGGAAGGCCTTCAACACTGTCTCTCACCCCATCCTCATTAAAAAATTAGGCATCCATGGTGTCAATGCCTACAGTCAGATGGGTTGCAAATTGGCTGGAGGGCCACACCCAGAGAGTGGTGGTGGACTGGTCATTTTTGACCTGGAGAGATGTGGGAAGTGGGGTTCCCCAGGGCTCGGTCCTCGGGCCCGAACTGTTCAATATCTTCATCAGCGATTTGGACAAGGGGGTGAAAAGCACCTTGTTCAAGTTCTCAGATGACACTAAGATGTGGGGAGAAGTGAGCACACTAGAAGAGAGGGACAGGCTACAACTAGATCTCGACAGGTTACAGACGTTACAGAGGTGGGCGGATAAGAATAGGATGGGTTTCAATACAGACAAGTGCAAGGTGCTGCACCTGGTGGGGAAGAACCAGCAGCATACCTACAGGCTGGGGAACTCCCTTCTTGTCAGCAAGAGGCAGAGAAGGATCTTGGAATCATTACTGATTCCAAGAAGAACATGGGCCACCAATGTGGGGACGCGGTCAGGAAGGCTAACCACACTGTCATGCATCCACAGATACATCATGAGCAGGTCCAAGGAGGTGATCCTCTCCCTCTATGTGACATTTGTCAGGCTGCAGTTGGAGTACTGCATCCAGTTCCGGGCACCACACTTCAAGAGGGATGTGGACAACATGGAGAGGGCCCAGAGGAGGGCCACTTGCATGATATGGGGACTGCAGGGCAGGCCCTACGAGGAGAGGCTACAGGACCTGAACCTGTTCAGCCTCCACAAGAGAAGGCTGAGAGGGGATCTGGTGGCCACCTATAAACTTGCCAAGGGGGACCAGCAGGCATTAGGAGAGTCCCTGTTCCCCCCAAGCACTACCAAGGGTAACAAGGAATGAGGGCCATAAGCTGACTGAGAGTTGATTCAGGCTAGATATCAGGAGGCACAACTTTACTGTCCGGGTGGCTAGGACCTGGAACCAACTTCAAGGGAAGTGGTGCTCACCCCTACCCTAAGGGTCTTCAAAAGGAGGCTAGACAGCCACCTAGCTGGGGTCATTTGACCCCAGCATCCTTTCCTGCCATGGCAGGGGGTCAGACTAGATGATCTCCTTAGGTCCCTTCCGACCCTACCAACTGTGGAACTATGAAATACCCTCCTCATTGAGAGTCTCTGCTACTGTATTTTGTGAAACTCAAGAACTCTGTAGAAAGGAAATCTGACAAAGCTGGAGAGGAAACCAGGTTCTTGTGAAATGTTTCCTTGAAGTTTAGAATTTCTGCCTTTCACTGTATTCTGAGAAAACAGCTTTGAAGAGCTCCTTTAATTTTTTTTTATTTGTAGATTTTATCATTTTCTACCTCATCTCAATGACCATTGCAGAGTTTAAAGTTTTCTGCAAATAAAATCAAGAATTTCTACACACAAAATCAGTGCATGAAGTCTAAACCAGTTTGCTTCTACAAGCATATGACTTTATCGGAAGGCTAAAGAGCAACCATTACTGTTAAGGCTGCTAAGATAACCAGTTGCCCAAGAAGGTGTTCCTTGACCAGTGTTTTACATTGCAAATCTTAGCTAGCAACACAAATTAATAAATATTAAGGTACTAGCTACGGATCACAATATTTCCATGATACTGCTGTAACTATTTTAAGGGAATTGTTTTCTGCCATCCTGATACTTTTCCTCTACACAGACCGGTAGCTCCTTCAGAAGCAGTAGGGTGATGAAAAACGAAATGAACTTTTGTGCCTAACTGACCAAAATTGAAGTTAACGGCGTGAGGATTTGCATCCTGAACTCCATCATGTGCCTGGTAATTTTCAGTCATGCATTTTTAGGAAATACATGTTTTCTGATAAGTTGGAGAGAGATATGTCTATATGTAGAGAGACAAAAGGCTTATCCTACTGTGAATTAACCAGAAGTATGTCTAGAAAAGAGAAGGCAGGGTAGACTTGCACATTTATAGACTAAACCAGTGATGTATAGTATAAGCTATACATGTTAGTTAGGATTCATGCAGAAGGCAGGGTAGATTTATACCTTAAAGTTAGGTACAGACATTAAAAGAGGCTGGGGCAGAATTGATCAAAGTTACATGGTTTTGTGTAAGTGGCATAGTTTAGATTGGTAATGAACAGACCACACATCTGCCCTTTGGTGTGGGGTGAGGAAGGGACAATCTTAGACTGGGTTCTGCCATTTTTAAACTAGTCTGTGTGTGCCAAACTTCTGTCCTGTTATGGGTAGAGACTGGTTTCCGATCACTCATATCAGTAAAAGGGTAATGTCTGGACCTGGTCTTATAGACTACCTACACCAGAGATGTACAGCAAAAGCTATGCATCCCTGGATGTACAGCTATTTTGTACATCGCTGGTTTAGTCTGTAAAGGTGCAGATCTCCCCTGCTTTCTGCCTCACTCCAGACTAACAACCTATCTCTACAAAAGAGAAACCTTCTACAGTGATGGAATCTGGATAGACTGATTATGAAAAGGTACTTGCTTGATTTTTGCTCTCCTAGATATAGAGGAGATAGACAAAAATTATAACAAAATATATGCCACTGGACAAATCCCAATGCTGATCTATAAATGGTAATCATAAAGAGACCTCTGTGATTTGTGAAATGTTAAACACAAGACCTCACTATAATCAGACAAAGAAATAACACTGGACAATGACTGGGCAGTGTTTTGTTTCCTGCAAAGGACATGTGAATTCCATGTTCATTAAGAAGGGACTATCACATAGAATTAAACAATTACATCCTAGCTCTTTTTCTGAAGAGGAAAAGCATTTTAGGTTGTACTGAATGCCTGATCTGTCTCTCACTGAACTTAAAGGACTTCAACAGGTTTTATAATAACTCTTAAGTGAAAAGAGGAAAAATGAAGATATAATATTTCGTTACTTAAATCAGTGGACTTCTACCTGAATGCGTTGCGGTGAAGCTACGGAAGAGTCTGTGGAAATAATCTGGATACGCTGGGAGGGGCTGGTCATCACTGGTGATTCAGATAATGTTGTCTGAACAGTCTGCACCTGTAAATAAGCAGGGAGAAATTGTACTTTGATGCACTTTTACAAAATACCACATATTTCCTTTCCTAATCATCAAGCAGCTCCATCATGGATTCTAGATTTATTACAAAAGGTTTCAGTCAGTAAAACTCATTGTATCTGTTTCCACTGAATTTTCAGAGTATGTTGTTGCTGTTGAAAAGAATGCACCAATTATATTATAGAACAGCCCCTGTATAATATAAATTTAACTGCCACAATAAAACAGTATCGTCTTTCAGTTATTGGAATGCAAAAATATACTTTCTTAACTTTCAATAATTTATTCAATAGATTTTTGCTTCCTTTTAAAATAAAGTTATTTGTATTAGACACAATAGTATATTGCATTAACAGATCACCTTTTCTGTGACAATCTTAACATGTCTGATGAACATTTAAGTCCAGAATTTTCAAAAGCAGCTGCCAACATTTAGGTAGCTAGATCCACATTCAGGTTCATACCTGAAACTGGCTTGGATTGTAGATGTCTGTACACCTGCCTCTTCCATTTACTTTAATGAGATTAGTGAGCACTCAGTCACTTATTCATTGGCTGCTTTCAGTAACATGCCTGTCAGATTCAAGAATGAACTTTTAGGTGATCAAGTGAGTTTATATGCCTACAGCAATCTTTTGGAGATAGTATTGCTATTACTATTTTATAGATGAAGAAAATGAAATGTTGTGAGATTTGTGATCTGCAAAGTCTGAGTTTTAGGTTCAACGTTCTATCCTCCAGACCATTATTTCAGACCAAGCCTTTCTCATGTGGGTGACGAAAAGAAGAAAACTTATTACTAATCCTACATTTTTTGTGTATCCCAAAAATACCCTTGTGAGCCCAGGGATGTTTTGATTCTTGGTTGGGACTTTCACTTAAAGAAAATATAGTCAAAGTCAGGGGATAATGAGTGCTCTGCAGGAGTCCATAAGCTTCCTGTCTGCCAAACCCTGACATTTTCTTCTTTTATGCTTATTTGTGTAGTCTACCTAAAATCTTGCATAATGCTTGGCTACCTCTGCAGTCTACTCGGAACAAACTGCAGCCTCATTTGCCTAGTAGCCATGAATTTCAGCTGTGAATTTCAAATTTAAGAGTTAGAGTTGATGTGTATTTGGATAAGCAACTCTGTAGATAAGTTTAAGTGGTTCTAGTTTTACTCTGATTTCTAGATCAAATTTGCCCAGTATGCAAGTTTTCTTTACTGCTAGTGTTGCAGACCTTCCAACACATAAATAATAATGAGTACCAGACAGCACATTTCTGTCCTTAGTTTTACATGTTCAATTGTTATTATCCTCAATGAGGGTTTTACAAGTAGGACAAAGGGTAATACCATATTTTCTTGCATATAACATGCCCCCAAATAAAACACGCACTTGTTTTTTGAAGGCAGAAAGTAGAAAAAACAGATTTTTTTCCCTAGTCATGCTCGAGTGCATGACATAGAGTAAGTCTTCTTGGAAACACGGAGGGTGTGTCTTGATGTGCAGGGGCATGCAGTTTGTGGTGCCATAAACTGCACATGGAAAATATGAAAATGTGTGTCGCACTGCAGATTTACAGTGCAGTTGCAAAATTTGCTATCAGGAAATCCCAGTAGCAAAAAAAAAACCAAAACCCCTCTGGGGAAAAATGAAGCATCAGTAGCATGCACTGGAACAAATGGAGGGCTGGCCATCCAGAGCAATTCTCTGGCTGCTGGCTAAGCTCCGTGCTGCCGGATCTGCACCTCTACTGCACCAGGACACCACGTAATACTACAGGGGTCAGCACAGGGCCCCACACTCCCTTACCCTTACCCAGGATAATTTGCTGCGTGCCAAAGCACACGTGCAGGGGCGTATGATGGGGCATAAAGCAGTGGCACAAACTTGTGCTGCTGTCTTTTGTGCCTCTACAAGCACATGCACCTCCACATGGGGACCTGCCCGCAGATTCCAAGAATTGTGGCATCCCAGGAAACCATTTGAGTGAGGCAGCTGGTACTGGGAACTTCCTGTTGTCTTCTGCCTCACCCAGACTGTGTCCTTGGATGCCACATTTCTTGGACACTCAATATTCCCAGGAGGACTTACTCTGTATCGCATAAGGTTAGGCCCTAGACCTTTGCAAGGGCGGTAGCAAGACTGTTAGTTCTTTATTATAGGTAAAAACACATGTTGTGTCCACATGAAAAGCCTCATCAAGCCTCACTTCCTGCTTCAGGCACAGGCTACACAGTGCTCAGCCAATAGCTACAACTGTGAGAGGTTTTAACACAGGACTCCAACCCATTAGCTTGTTGAGCCATAAAAACGGAAGTCATCTTGGCAGCTGTATGGCATGCAGTGTCTCCAGGTATGTTTGGAAGAAAACAGTGAAGAAAACATTTCCCTGCTTAATAGACACACCCCAATTTGGGGGTTCTGATTTTGGGGGAAATGGTGCATATTGTGTGCAAGAAAAATACAACACTTGATCCTGCCATTGGAATTCAGTTAACAACTCTTGTTAGTGAGTGAGACGGAACAGAAACTATCTCCCTCCACAGTTCCTGTCTGTCTTTATTCTGCAGCACTAATGAGTACAAAATGCTGCATAAGCCCATTTTTTTCATGTAAGTAAGGAGATGAACCCTGAATACATCCAGAGAACTGAAATGCTGTTCTTTTACCATTATATTCAGCATAGAATTGCAGTTTAAATACATTTGTTTGAGTGTGATATCACATGTATGGTTGTTCAGTAGGGTGCACAAATAAAGATTTTCTTGGCTGATACCAATAACCAGGCATATCGCCCAAAGTCAGTCCGATAACTTATTTACAGGAGCACAGCCAGGCAGTATAGAGAGCAGCACCCTGCAGGTAGGTCTATGGAGGGGAAGGGGTGGAGGGGAGGGGATGGGCGGAAGTGGCGGGCAGATTGACGGCCCCATGGTAAGGAAGGGAGCGGGCCAGGGGCTGGGGCTGTCAAGCCAGGGGACCCCAGGACTAGGGCAGGGAGTGGGAAGAAGCTGCAGGCAGCTCATCCAGGGGATCAGCATCCTGGTCCTTAAAAATGGCAGCAGTGGCACTTGAACTAAAGCTTGTCAAATAAGCTTTAGTTCAAGCGTCACTGCCACCATTTTAAAATGCAGGGACATTTTTAGCAGCAGAGCTGAGCTGGGCAAGGGCAGAGGCAGGCTGCTCGCTGCAGGCTTAGGGCTCTCCACCCTGCTGCCTTTGCCCTGGGAGCCATGCGCTCGCTAAATGTTCCCTTCCTGCCTGGCAGCAGGAGGCACAAAGTGCTGTCACCACTGCTGCCAGGTGGGCAGGGGTTGCATAGCAAGCACACAGCTCCCAGGGCAAAGGCAGCAGGGCAGAGAGCCCCAAGCCCACAGTATGCAGCTCACATCTGCCCCACGCACAAATCCAGGAGTGGGCACATGCCTCCCCCAGGAGGTGCACACAGTTGCAACGAGCCACTCCCCACCCCAGGGCCCCATTCACCAACTTGGCTGGACAGCACTCCCAGCCCCACTCCCTCCTTCACCATGGACGCCTCAATCTACCTCTCCCCCTCTCCCCCCAGCTATGCCCCTTTCCTCCCCTACACCCCTTCCCCTCCACAGACTTACCTGCAGGGCACTGCTGTCCACCTTGGCTGGCTGCATTCCTGGCCATGTGCATACTGCAGCTGTACACATGCACATGGCATTCGGGGACCCTGGCCAGAAGGCATATTATATTCATCGGTGACATTACTGGTTACACCGGCCAAAAAAGCTGACAGCCGATAACATTATTTTTCCTTTTATCAGTGCAGATCCAATATGGCATTGATATATAAGCGCACCTCTACTGTTTAGGACAGAGGGAGGGCAAACTCTTCTGGCAGTCATGCCATAAATGAGCTCTACACCCTCCCTAAGTGCCACTCTGATCCTTTTCCCTTACCTTATCTGCTACTCAGCTTGCTGCTCCCTGTGCTGCCTCCCTGGCCAAAGTGATGCTGTTTCATGCTTCCTGTCCTGTGCTCCCTGTCTGATCTGCAGATCTGCTTTCTGCTCCCTGCCCTATCTGCCACTGTGCTGCCTGCCTCTCCTCAGCCTGCTACATGCCACACACAGATGCTGCCTATGCTCCTTTTGACACCCATGCTATAGGTTGGTCACCCCGGTTTAGGACATTTGGCTACTTGTCCCAGAAAGATTATAGATACATTCAATCAGATTTCCAAGAATTCATAGATTCATAGACATTAGGGCTGGAGGGGACCACGGAAAATCATCGAGTCCAGTACCCTGCCTGAGGGGCAGGAAGTCAGCTAGGGTCAAAGGATCCCAGAAAGATAAGCATCCAAATGTTTCTTAAAAGAGTCCAGAGTAGGTGCTTGCACCACCTCTGGAAGGAGTCTATTCCAGGCCTTGGGGGCTTGGACATTAAAGAAGTTTTCTGTGAGCCTTAGCAGCGCAACAACCTTCAAGACCGCTGTACATGTAAGGGGTATTACATGGGTACTCCAAACTTATACATACAGAATCCTACCAACTGTGATTTTTTTTCTGTTCATTCTTCATGTCCATTCAGCCCTCAATTATGTTGATGTAAGTGCCAATAAGAGGAAACAAGTAGTACTCATTTTGATCATGGCTTCCGCAAAGTAAGCACTGGCCAGCTAGGAAACAGACTAAGAACCCAAATTCATTTCACAAAGGCCGTTAATAGGCTTTCAGTCATTATCAACTTGCAAGTAAAAGAGAAAGTGCCATATGCCATTATCAATCCCCAGACCCAGGAAATTTATTTTGGTTAAGTTCTGCTTCAGTTCTAGTGTTCATCTGAGCCATGTGAAAAAGCCTTATTAGGTTTTATTGGCTTCCCTCATATCTAAATATGAACTGGATCTACTGTTTGATTCCTCAATATTTGGAAGAGAACGCAAAAACATTTTCAATCCTATTTGTGTATACACCAAATAAAAAACTCACCCTTTCATTATTGAAGCAACTATT